AGTTTTTCTCCTTTCTGTTTCAATTGAAATCGCTATTTTTCTTCCCTTAATCTTCTCTGAAAAGTGTTTTACAGCAGTTCACAGTTAAAATAAGTCCTTAAGGGATTATTTAGCAACTGAATTAAGTTGAAATTACTAGATTTCTAGTCAGCAGTAGATTGTAGAAGTAAATGCCTTCATTTCTCTCCAGTTTGTAGCAAAGTTATTTTTTATGAAGATTGTTTTATCTGAGAACATATTTCCTTCAGGTGCCCTGGTTTTATAGCATTCTATTTGTGATTTAATGCACATGGAGGTACATGTGTGTTACTCTTATAATGGAAGCAGAGGAAAAAAAAGGAAATATGTCCATCTGCAATAGTTTAATGGGAAAGAGCTATTGTTTTCCAGGGGTTTTTTTCAGCCTATAGAAGATTGCTTTTTCCTAGCTAGTTGTTAGTAGAGGAAGGCAGGGAGTTGAGTGCTCCATCCAAGGAACACTGACACTGACAGTGTACAAGCTCAATTGTGTAACTAATTGTCTAGAAAGACCCTACGGAACAACAGCTGGAAAAGATTAAAGCAGGTGGATTTGTGTCTTGAAGAGTCCACCTCCTGCCAAAAACCAGCACGGTGTGGGGTTAGCTTTGCTGGCATGGGTTCAGGAAAAATATCTCTCCTTCACCTCCTACACCTGAGATCTTGATATGAAAGGCTCCAGGTTGCTTATTCCTCTTTTCAATAGACTGAGTCACAGCTTCCAAGGGTAGGAGCCAACAGGAGAAGTTCAAAGGTGGAATGTTTGTGCAGGAATTGGATGCAGGCAGCTTCTCTGCTCATGAGCGTTTTGCAGGAGGCAAAAGCACACATCTCTGGAAGAGGAAAACAAAGTTTTGTTTTAGAGAGCTGATAGTTTTATTGCTCCTTTTGCTGCCAGGATAAGGCCCTCAGCTGGCATGAGCAGTAGAATTCTATTGAAGTGCATGGGACTGTCCAGGTAAAGCCAGCCTAAGATCATGCCCTCGGATATGTAATCAGAATACCTTCCTGATGTCAGGTGCCCTGAAAATGTGTGCCAAAGCTTCTGCCAAGTCTGTTACTCCAAGTGGCTCTCTTAAAAAGTTGGTTGCTTCAACGAAATTATGAGCTACTGCATTTTATTATTTATCTCTCTCTCTTGCCTCCTTTTGGTATTTTTCTTTCAACTAAACCATATTAATTTTGAGCTATAAAGCTTTCTAAAAGCCTGCATAAATTAATGAGCTAGAGCCAGCAGTATGCAATGATCCATGTCACATAAAAATATAATCAGCATTTTTCCCAGAATTGCCGACACCTTAGAACTTTGCAGTAAACCAAATATTTTTAAAGTGGTGCAACCAAATGAAAACTCTAAATTTGCCAGCAGAAGGTGGATTGCTGATGCAGTAAATCTGCTTTTCTTGTACCATCCAGGCAATTAATCCTTTATTTCAGAAAAATTCCCATAAATCACCCGTGTGTGTTCCCAGCAGCGTGAAGACAACTTGTGAAATTTGGGAATTGTTTATTGTTCATTTTTTTCTCCTTCTGTCCCTTCTTAATTTAACCAATAAGAAGATATAGAGCACTTAATAAAGTTGCTCTCAGCCTTAACTGAATACTCTGGAGCATTAGTGTGCTTAGTTTCAAATAGAGGAGTGTTGGTATTCCCTGTCCGGGCTGGTTTTTTTCCAAACATATGCTGTGTTGTGGTTCACATATTTCATGGAATATAACTCTCTGGATATGCTGCATGCTGTGCTCTAAGCTCTTTGCATAGACTGTAAATCCTCAAGGATTTTGCAAAGTAAGAATTTTGTAACACATATTTACTGTCTAGGGACCTGATCCTCTAATTAGTTTCATACAGGTAAATTCTTACACTTACATAGATGCAAGCATATTCTTTTAGCTCAAGGGTCTGCTTGGCAGATTTTGACTCAATAAATATTAAAGGATGCAAGATCCCAGCCTCAGGAATCAAAGAAAATGCTTCCTAAATGTGGTGCTTTTAGTTAAACATCCCACAGTGAATTTGGATTAAGACCTGATTCTAAACTGAATTCATCATTCTTAATCTGCAGTGTGGGGACAAAATCAGGCCAGTGAGACAAAAATAAACCTTTTGCTCAGATCTGCCTCTTTATCTGATGTTGGAAGGTCCCATAAAAGAATGAAAAAGAGTGTTGAAATACAGCTACAAATTGTAATGGTTTTATTGCTCTTATTGGGACAGCATATAAGAAGTGTGCATATATGATGTGTGTCTGTGGTCTTTGACCACAAAACTTAACATGAGAAAGGAAAGTGTTGACATTTGGTAAAGAAATAGGTTCCTCCCACCCACCCACCCACAAATAGTGTGTGTAGCAGTCGTCCCCTAATGTGCTTTTTTTCCCCTCCAGATATATGTGAGTGCTCTGATCTTTTATTTGGCTCTTTAATGCATCCCTGCAAATGAAATTAGTATTCTGGGATATTGCTAAAACATCCAAGTGGCTCTTTTGCATCAGCACTGGCTGGCTTGAAATGAGCTCCAGAGGGAGCCTTGAAAGGGGGGATCTCACATCACAAACTGTTTGAGGATGTAGAACCAGGAAAAGAAGATTAGAAAAGGAAGAGGGGTTTGACTTTTGGGGGGTTGCCTGAACCTCCTCTTTCAGCTCTAAAGTTTCCTTAGCTGGAGTCTAAATTTCCAGCACCAAAAATAAGTGGAGACAAAACTGTTCAACTCTGGGTCCTGCGCATATGGTTTGATAAATAGCAAACAGCACAGCCTGGAATCCTGCGTGGCTCACACTGTGTTTCCAGCTCTGCGGTAAACACATGAATAGAAAGGAGAAGGCAGCAAGGCTTAAACTGCACTCGCCAAGAACATCTGCATTTATGAAAAGCTTTCCCTAATTGAAAATCTAGTAGTTTCAAATGCTTTCCAACTGAGAGTTTGGAAACTCGCTCAGGGGCTGCTAAGATAGCAAGAAACAGCAGTGGCTTTGAGCGCTGAGTTCAGGTTACTCCCCCACCCTCCTCCTCATAGCTTGGACATTGAGGAGGTGCTAATAACATCTTTACAATTTCTAAAAAGGGAAAAATTCTCTCTTTAGACTTCAACCACGTTATTCTGTAGTTCTCTAACTCCCTGTCCTTACCATCATCTCCCCTTCCCTTCTCCTCCTCCTCAATATTTCCTCCTGTTTCTTTGAGATCTACTACACCAAAAATATTTTTGGAAATACCACAGACTATTGTTTTTATTAGTGACTGGAAAGCTTTGTAGTAGGATGCTTTTGTGTTTCATTTGTTTTCCTTGCTCTGGCACAGCTGTTTTTGCTTTAGCAGCATTAGAGAGATAGTTAAACTATTTGTGGCCTTTTCTAACCCAGCAGATCTCTTCCACTGAGTGCTTTAAACTGAATGACTGAGACTGTAAGTAACAGGTTGTCTGCGTGGGCAGTTTTGTGCATAAAGTTACAAATGCACTGTTTTTATGAGATCTCTTAATTTGTTCAAGCAAAACACCGAACACTGTGAAGCAAGTCCCAGTTTCCCTATAAATTTCCCAGCCAGAACACTGGCAGAACCTTGACTCTGGAGGATACAGAACAAATGAAGTAGTAGATCTTGTTCGACCCTACACATGTTCAGAAATATTAATGTAGAAGATGTTCATGTAAGTGTGCTGTTCCCCACTTCAGCCAAGAGGGAAAAGGAAGAAAAGCCAGAGCAGATGTTGGGGGCAGAATGTGGTCTGAGGAAAAATCTACCAAAGGTAGCATGTAGCTGCTACAAATGCCTTACTGGCCACTGTGATTATTCAGAGCAAGATGGGGAATTAGGAAGCTGGCTTCCAGTCAGAGAATGGTGACAGCAGAAAGTGGTAAATGAAGAATGAAGCCAACGAAATGTAAAGTAAAATGAAAACATAAATGGAGAATGAAAACATAATATCTGTGCAAAGGCAAAGGAAAAAAGAGGAAATGAGTTGCACTGGAGGTTTCAGTGTTCATGTCTGGTGACATAATGTAAGTGATATTGAAAGTATGGGCTGATGAACAGCAGGAAAATGAAAGTTAAGAGTGTAACTCTGTCCTGCTAACTCCCAGTCTTACCACACATTCTCACCACCTCTGCTGGGCAGACACAAGCTACTGAACAGTGGTTAGGTTTGGAGATTCCATCTGCTTAAGGGTGGCTTGGCAGTTTTGTTCCTGGCAAGGTCAGGCAGATGCAGGCCTGGCTCAACTTGGCTGTGTGAACTTGAACTGGCACTGGGCAGGCATGTGGGCATAGAGGAGGTGGCACCATGCCTGTCAGCACCTCAGAGCAGTGCAAAAGCAGCACATAGATCAGCTCACTGGGTAGATATAATGCAGGTGGAATGGTGGAAGGACATAATATGTCTCCTACTACTTGCCTCTTTATGCAATGGGTTGGGAAGCCATTGCACTTGTCAGAAACCCTCTCCTTTGTGGCACTGCAAAAGAAACGGCTGAAATGTCCTTTCAAGCACATTTTTCTCTGCTGTTTTTTGTCTTTTGCCTTTATTAAAAATAATTGTTTTCTCTCCTGTCAGTTTTGCTGGGGTCCCATCTGTGGATCCATGGCCAAATGAGGGACGATGCAGAGATAATAGTCAGTTATGCTGAGAAAGAAAATACTTGATTTCCAGATCCTGCTTGCACAACTTCTCTGTAGGTGTGTGTCATCTAGCAGGCTTTATTAAGCACCACAAAGTCCAGGGAATTGTCCTGATGTCTATCCTCAGACAAGGACTGTTTCTGTCCATGGGAAGGCACCTCACAAGTACAGGAGTATCAGCCATCCATCCTACAATGCCATAATAATCAATGCAGCTGCATTGATTCCATGTTTTTCTTCTCAATCAAATAGCAACATTCACATTTCAACCAAACTGTTATCCCCCAGCCCTGATTCTTACCTGTGAATAGACTCCAGTTATGATCTTTGCACTGACTTTTCTCCTGACTGGCTCGTTTCAGGGCTCCAAAGAGTGCGTCAGCTGGAGAAAAACACAAGGTACTTCAGACGAAAACTGCATGAAATGGGCTTCATCATTTATGGCAATGATGATTCTCCTGTTGTTCCCTTGCTCCTTTATATGCCTGGTAAGATAGGGTAAGTACTGAAAAAACCTTGCTGGCAAAATAAACACTATTGAAGTTTGTGGGTTATTTGGTACACACTGCAGAAGATGATGTTCTCTGTGGTGGGTGCTTCCCAGGGGAAACATACACTGTAGTTTGAATCTGTCATTTAGTTCTGTTTTCCTTTTGCCCCTAGGTTTAATTTTGAGTTGTTCCAGATGTCAGAATTTAAATTTTTTTTCTCTTTTCCTTTTTTAACATGGTCTGGAACAATACTTTTGATAACATTTTGAATTTGAATTTTTTTGATTTTGAATTTGTAATTATTAAAGGAGACGCATTGCCTTTGATGTATGAACTGGTTCAGAAGGAACCAGCTTTTTTTTCCCATCTGGTCTTTGAATGGTCTTTACATGTTTTATCATTCAGTTCACCTCAAGCACCACTTGTGCACTGACTTGGACACAGAGACCAGAAGTCAGAAGTAGCATAATGGAAGTGTTGAGCTGTAGAAAGTATTTGTAGGTAGCTTAGGGTGGCTGTGGGCTTTAGGTCTCATACATGTTACACAAACCTTCCTAACTAGCAGATCAATTGTGAGAGCAAATAAACCATCACACAGATTTTAGGTTTATTCCTATTGGTGTTCAGGAACAAAGAATTTGTACCTTCCACAAGGTTCCACAAGTCCAACCTCTTCCATCCTTATGGACTGTGAATGCCCACATGGTTTGATTTGTACTCAGAGACTTTCATTGACATAAATGAATCGTGTCTACCTGCAGAGCCCTCTGTGCCATCACATTTCTAGTATTTCACACCCACTTGGCTTCATGAGCTGCTAAGCAGCAAAGAATCTCAGTCCTGCTGGTGAAATTCTGGCTTTTACGGAAATCAGTGGGAATATTCAATCAATTGAAAACAGGATTTAACCTATTGTTGCGTTATATGTGAATGTTTTCTGTCTGTGTTCAGTTTATTGGGAATAATTTCTTTTTGATTTTTCTCCTTCTGCTTTTTCTCTCCTCAGGGCTTTTGCAAGACGCATGTTAGAAAAGAACATCGGGGTGGTCGTGGTTGGGTTTCCAGCTACTCCTATCACAGAGTCCAGGGCTCGCTTTTGCGTGTCAGCTGCACATACACGGGAGATGTTGGACACGGTGAGTGCAGCACATGTCCTGCCCAAATCAACTTCAGGTGCCAAGGAGACCGGGAGAAGCTCTGCCTCTGTTACTTTGAATCTCAATAATTCACTTTTACATTTGTTTTCATGGCCTTGGCACTTGATCTTTAAAGGCATTTGAGCCTTATACATTTTACTTTCTGAAATTAGTTATGTGACAGTTAACTTCTTATGTTCTTCTATTTCTAATGGTGACCAAATCTGTCATCACTAATAAAAACCTACATGAAAAGCACAGCAAGACAAAAGTTAAATCCTATGTCAAAACTATGAGAGTAGGAAACCTGAAACTATATGGAAATAATTGAAAATCAAGTTTTCCATACCCATAGTTCCATTCCATATTTCCATGTGTTTCTTGAAGTGCAGAAGTATATGGGACAGCCTTGGGGGTACAGGTGGAAATTGCAAACAGTTTTGGAACTGTTTGAGCCTAATCAAGTTTAATTGGTGCTGTCTGGAAAGTCTCAGTTCTGTATCTTTCTCTGGTATCAGAAATACCATTAAGAGTGTGTTGGGACTTCCATCATAAACCTCTGTTCCAACATGGAAATATGTTTAAAATAAACTCTTTGAAATTTTTCATTTCCTTTTTTTGCCGAAGGTGTTTTTGGCCTGGCTTGAGATACTTTCATTCTCAGAATGAGCCAACTTAGAGGCATGAAACAAAGAGGCTTAACAATAAATTTCAGGCTTTGCTTTTCCTCTCTTTGCACGAGTGTTGATGGTCAAAGCCAAAAATCCTTGAACATGGAAAGGCATTTGGGTTAAATGTGCCTCTGGTTCATGCAGACGAGCACTGGGGCTCTGCAGAGAGCTCCTGAATCTCCTTTTGCATCCTGAGATACACGTGGATGTGGGGCTGGAGTCCTGCCCTGCTGAGCAGCTCCCATACCAGTGTAGGTAGCTTTAAAACAACATCAAAAACCTGCTTTGCATGTGTGCAGTGTAAAATTCCTGCTGCTTTTAAAGGTTCAGTAGTTATTAACAAGGAACAACACCAAGGTAGCATTTTGTAGAACAAACCATAGCTACGTTCTTGTGTTGGTCCTTACTAGCTTTTGCTGTTTGACTGTAAGGATTTTGGCTTATGTAACAGGCAATGAAGTTGATCTGAAGATTTATCTCTTGAGGCTGCTGCTTTGATTTTTTCCTTTCTCCGCACCCCCAAGTGTCAAGCCCACCTCATTTTTGGGCCATCGTGGTGCATTCATTTCCTGCTACCTGCACCTTGCTGCTTCCAGGGAAGGTCTGCCACTCCCCAGCCATCACTGAACATGCTGTGCTTTTGCCACAGTACTTGTGGCACTCTTACAGCATGGGGGAATGGAAATGCTCTGAGTTTAATTACTTGCAGAAAGAAAGCTTTTAGGAAAAAACACTTTGTGGCTGTGCCTAAATCCAGGGTAACAACAGGTAACAAGCACAATGAAAACATTTCCCTTTTGTATCTCAGCCTGCAACTAAAGAGAAAAGATCCATGCAAGGGCAAGCTCCCAAGAATAACTTCCTTAATGACCTGGAAGCTATCTTTCTGCATAAACCATTACTAAATTACTTCTTTTTGTTCTAAATTACTTTTTGTTTATGAGCTTGTTTTAGTGGCTTAACAGAAACAGGCTTAAAATCAAAGTTGCAGTTTCCTTCTTTGATGCCAAAAAGTTGGCTGCTCTTGAATGGGGGTCAGATGCTGCAAAACACTGAGCTGCTTCCCTATGGTACAGAGTTCCTCAGCTAATTTTTGTATCCACTGAGAGCTGGGGACACAGTTCAGCAAATTGCATTACACTATTAATGAAGAAAAAATTGTCCCTGTGATATAGAAAATAATGGCATTCACTAAAATGATCTTAAACTATTCAGACTATTTATGCTGACTCTGCTCAGCACTGTGAGCTGAGTGCTACCTAAGAAAAGACATTGGCAACCCCAATCTTTGGGAGCTACAGAGGAATACTGAAGTATAGCCTCACACATTTCTGTTGCACATGCAAAGATAACTTTTTATTTTGGTTGTTACCTCTCTGTGCTTTTGGAAAAAGTAATTTTTTTCATCTGTGCTCAATTAATGTACTTACTAATAACCCATAACCTACTGAAGGAGTAAATTCCTTTCTCATAGATGCTGTTGTACATCTACAACCGCACTGATGTTCACTGTTGTAGACTGAATGCAAAATTTGCCTATTTGTTCTTTAAACTTTAATTGATTTTTTAAAATAATCTTCTGGTTCTGCAGTAAAGTAAAAGTTAGCAGAAGTTCATTTCCAATAGAATTGACAAAGTCTCATGGTCTTACAGGTCTTGAATGCTCTGGATGAATTGGGTGATTTTCTACATCTGAAATATTCCCGGTATTCCAAGTCAGCTCATCCTGAACTGTATGAAGAATCTAGGCTTGAACTTGAAGATTAAGTTTTCCACCCATGAAAAGAACATTATGATGCTATGAAAGGGCGGAAAACCTGAAAACGAAACAATACAAATGCATTTCTTCCCTTCTAAGGACAATTTTTATTTCTCAGTTAATTGAACGGAGGGGAAGCTCAGGTGTTGCATCACGTTGTATCAAACTTTTGTATTCAAGAGACTGAAATATTGATACAGATTTGCCTCTCCAGGAGATCTGTCCTTCTTAAGGTATTTTTGATGCAGAATGAATGCATCCATTGATCCAGTTGGTAACGTACAGCTTTTGGTATGGCCCTTTTTTATGAAGAGGCTTCAGATAGTCTTAATTGTGACTGAAATAATAAAGTTTAAAAAGTTAATAGATTCCAGTGTAATATAGCTGAGCTTCATCAGTGAGACTGTTCTGCTAAAGAGCATTAATCAAGACGCCGGTGTGGACTGCTACAAAGGAATGAGCAGAAAGTGATTTCTTTAACTAAGTTGCACTATCATGCATTTCTCCAAGGACAGAAGGTGTTAGAAAAAGGCTAATGCTGAGAACAAGAAAAGTAGCCTGATGAGATCATGTATTTCTGACAGCAGGTTATGGGAAAGGGAGAATTCCTCCTCTCCACAGACCTATTCTCGGTCACCTAAATGCACTCTAAACTTTGAATTGTATAAAAATTTGAGCTTAAACATAAACAGAAATGCTTTTCTGCCAACTCATTTGACCCACAACCTATCACATCTTATCACTACCTAAGTTCTTCAGCAGGCTTGCTCCCTTTTTGTGGGGCAGTAGTAAATAATTTTAATAAACATTTAACTTTCCCATAAAAACCTTGATCAAAACAGTCAGATACTTGCAGTGCACAAACTGCTGATGACATTTATGGGCTCATTCCTAAGTTTCTTGAACTACTTATGGGCCTCATAAATTGACTAACAAGTACATAATACTGAAGCTGTTAGTTATGTGAAGTTCAAGATACCGTAAGCAGTTCTGCCACCTGCTAAACAGAAAACTCCGCCATTTCTATACATGCTACAGTCATCCATGGAATAACATTTCTTGAAATATTTTTATCTGTTTTATGCATGTCAGGGGTTGTTCTGTTCAGGTTTTTTTGGTTTTGTTTTTTGTTGGGTTTTTTTTTGAGTCATTTGTTTTTCAAATAATTATTGTATCTTCTCAAGAGGATGATGCCCTTGTCCCCTTGTCCACTGCCCAATAACAAATGCTCAAGGCTACCTGAAGGAATTGTTCCAGCCAGCAGTTTCCCTGCAATGCCAGCAGCCACAAGCATCAGGTCTGTGTGGGCTGGTGCTGGAAGGAGATTGGAGGCTTTTGCCTTTTTTTTTTTTTTTTTCCCAGGGTTGAAAAGCAGTTCTGCAGCTTTAAGAATGAGCTCCAAACAATTCCACGCTATCAAATGTCATTGTAAACACATCAGATGAGAGATGTTTAGCTTTCTGTTGCACAGATGTACCACACTTTCATGTTCTCTTGAAAGCTGTGGTGTAAACTTAACCCACAGCTGCAATATTAGATTTAAGAACAGAACAATTAAATTGTGGAGTACCAATTACACTATATTACTCCCTGCTTGTTAAAGCAGCTTTCAGGATGTAACAAGGCTGACTGATTATGAGGGCCCATTTTTTGTTGGATTTTTGTTGTTGTTGTTGTGCAAGTTAATAAAAATCCAGTGGTGCTACAACTTTAAGAATTGATTACAACACATTCCGTAATCCCAAATGTCGGCTTTAGGAAATATTTATCAAGGGCTGGGGGAGGACTAAGTGTCATGTGATTCTTCACTGTGGTGGATGGACTGGAAAAGCATTGCAGAGGTTCAGGGGAGTTGTGTTTGTGGATAAGAGCAAACTCACTGTATAAATATTTAAATACTCGAGCACAGGACAAGGAGAAATTAGGAAACTTCATCTTTGAGTACTCTGGCAGTTTGTGGTGCACAGCTGTGTTACAGGGTGAGTGCACTTACTATGAAAGGAGATGGGTTGAGAAATTTCTGCAACCTGTTCCTTGAGGAAAAGTACTGGATTTGATATATTCCTTTTTGATCTCTATTGCTGAACTTCTGCGGCCAGATCCTCAGTTGACTTCTGACCTTCCATTTTGGGGTATACAGCCACAGTTTATATTTCAGCAAACATTATTACATGTACTGTTGCAGGCGACACACTATTTCCCTCCAAGAGAGGCCTGAGATTGATTAAAGTACAGAGTGATCACTTTCTGTACCCCAACAGGAGAATGTTTTCAGTCTAAAGCCGAATTCTTCCTGCCCTCAGAACATTACTCTCACTCATATTAAGGAGACAGGACAGCTATTTTTTAGAGACTGTCAGTTGATTTATTATGTGCTCTCTTCTGATTTCTTCCATCCCTTACACACTGGAGAAAGTACAGACTGACTACCACTGTGCTTGGGGAACAGTTAGGGAGAAATCTCTGCTCCACTGGTGCAATTATAAAACTCCCAGGAACTTCAGTCTACTAGTTTCTTCCCGTGAGGTTTATAATCTGGCACTTGCTTTTCTAACAGTATGGAGTTTTTGCTGGCTTACTTCAATTTTTATAGATTTAGAGTTGGTCAGCATTTGAAGACTCAAATATTTAACTGGTGTCTGAAAAAATCTGATAGAGTACCCATTAGGGAATTTGCACCTCTAGCACAGGATCATGTGTTTCCCAGAATGTGCTCCCTCTTCAGGCACGTGTGTTCTTGGAAAATATAGTTCTTTCTAATTGCTTCAGAAGGATTTGAAGAGCTATCTTCCATAAATTTAAAAAATGCTCAAGTTGTCATATTTTAATCCAGTGGATACATTAATTATAACTACACCAACTTTTTGTGGGCAAGCTGCATCCTGTTATCCTATGTAAAGTCTTGACTGACCTTTATGATATGGGAAAATTTATTTCTGTTTGACAAGGAAACTGAATTGTTTGCCCTTTCCTGCACTTTTTACCCTTCCTCATCTTTTAGAAAGTCTTCATCTCCTGATCTTATCAAACTTGTCAAGGTGGTTACCCCCTCCACTTCTGTCTTTTTCTATTGTTCTCTCTGTTCTGCTGTTCTCTGTTGGGGGAAACAGCAGCTGCAGTGGATCTGAGTGCAACAGTTGGCTTTCTGGGCATAGCCTCACTGCCTGCTTTTCCTGGTATTCTCATCAGCTCTTGCAAACTTAATCCTTCCTTTTCAAGTAAAAAAAGTTTTGGGATTTTTTTCTTGATAAATTCAACATGATGGTGATAAATTCCTATGACGAACCAAATCTGAACTACCCAAGCTGTTGAACGAAGAATGGACTTGTTCTGTCATTTATACAAGTGTAGATCAGGTTAAGTCTTGCTTTGAAGTCAATACTGTTAGTTAAAAACTAGTACAATTAATTATTGGTGCAATTTACAGCTAGTACTATTTAAAAATAGTACAACTGTGAGAGGAACCTGTCAGTGTGAGGTGAGCTGCCTGCGTTTGTTTCAGAAGGGTTTGAACACTGGTGTCTCTGAACTGTTTCACAGCTGCTGCTCTTCGCAGGGGACAAAGATATGAAGTGGATCTATTTAAGGTAGGATTTCAGCTGGGTTTTATTTTCTTTTTTTTTTTTTTAAGCAAAATGTTTGGTTGAAGGTGTGTTGCAGATTTCCCTGTTCTGTTGTGACAGGGAACAAAGTAGTGATGTAAGAAAAGCAGTCTGTACTAAAGGTGTTTATATGCTTTCTAGCCTACTTCAAAATCCAATAGAGATTCTCTAATATATGATCTGCTTTTTATTTGTGCATGAGGTTTAACTGCTCTTCAATTTAAAACATAGATCAGGACCAAATTTTAAAGAAACCACACCACCAGCTGAGAAATGGCAGATTTCATGCCATGATTGGAAGCTGAACATTAGATGCCTTCAAAAACAGCATCAAGGTGTTTCCTTCATTTACTCACACATCCAGGGTGGTTTGGGCTCCCTGCAGATCAGTCACAAGATAATGAGGACTCACTTTATCCATTTCAGAGGTAGAGCTTCAGGCTTGTCAAGCTGGTCCCAAAACCACACAAAATCATAGTTCAGCACCATTGGAACAGGAGTCCAGGGTCTGACTGGTTGCTCAGCACTTAGTAAAGAGGGGAGTGTGTTTCCACATATGTAGCATGTCACTGACAAGTGCCATAAGGAACCAAAGATAAATGCATTTATATCACGTGCTAACCAAATGAAAAGCCTAAGTGTAGTGCCATTACAGAATCTGGAGAGATGTGGTAGACCTGGAGACTTGGACTGGGTCCAGTTGTGTACAGGGAGCAAGTGCAGGTTCTGGTAACAAACTACATGCTTCTTCTCCTCCCACTTCGCTCTTGGAACCAGTCTTAAAGGTGCAAAACTTATTGTCCAGCATGAACAGAACAGACAATTGGGGATTCAAGCATCATAAAGTCACCCCAGGACATCTGTGCAGAAACTGTTCCGTGCGTTGCTGGGGATTCTGCTTTCATGTGGGAGCTGCTTTTCCAGCGACCCTCACGCCAAGGACACAGCTACTCTCAGAGTGGCCAGAAGAGGCACTGATGTTTTTTATTGTTCCAGGACCATCTATTTATTTTTGGCATTTCCTGATGTGCTGAAAATCCTGATACAAACTCTCTGACTCTCACTGCTTACTTCAATGCCCATATTTTAAAATCTGCTCAATGAACCACTGTAACCTAAGAATTAGAGCTCTAAACTGCGTACAAGGGACCCAGTTCTGGTCTGCCTCTGTTCTGCTAAGCAATTGCAGATGAGAAACATTAGTGTTCCTTGCCTCATTTCTATCCCTCTATAGGACTCTGATAGTAATCCTAATTTGTTTGTAAAACAAGAAGTTGAACTGATGAGAAGAGTTACAAGAGTGAAATGTTGCTATTATCTGAGTGATCTTTTAATTTCTATATCTTAGAATGTCTCCATTAATCCTGTAAAAGTCACAAGTACTCTGTTTATGAGACCTAGAGTATGAAACAGTACAATGATGAAGACTAATTATAAATCATAGGAAAAAAAATTCTGGTAAACAGATTCCTTTAACATTTCCATTCTGTGCAGGCTTTGTCAGTGTCTTATGACAACGATGCCAGTTAGATCAGAAAGCTTTTTAAAATGTGAATCTATCTTTTCAAAGATTTGTAGCCAAGCCTTTTCAGTTTGTTAAAATGTAATTAGTGTCTGCTTGTTAATATAATGTTCATTGATTTTTAAAGTACACAGACTTCAAAGCTAGAAACAAATAAATAAAAAGAGGGATAATTCAAACCAGAGTGGAACAGCTCGGACAGTTTTACTCTTTTTTTGCCAGGATCCTGAAGCTGTTGTGTTCAAACAATGCCACAGTTTCAGTGGAAATGTGAAGATTAAATCTAAACCCTGCATGTCAGCTTTTTTTGTAAATGACTATCCAGGATTTTAATAAAATGTCCAACCACAACAGATTACGTTGCAGGGATTTTTATTGTCTAACAGCTTGTGATAGTCTTCTGTTTCTGTAGCATTTATTATAAACCAGTGCACCTAGCAAGAATCCATGGAATTTTGGTACCTAATTCAGTTATGCTCTTCTGAAGAATAATTTGAAAGGGACAAAAGAGGAAAAGGTTCACAGGATGATGGATGGCTGCAGAATCTCCCAGTTTCACATCAAGGCACAAGATGGAAGGTATATAAATATAGAACATAAATTGACCACACTCATGGACAAAATGATGTCAGTGCAAAAAAGACAAGTGGACATAACTTGAAATTCAGCAAGAAATTCAAAGCTGTGATTGAGGAACACCCTGAGGAGAGAGCAGAAGCAACACTAGCACTCAACTCTTCAACAAGAAGGTGGCCTTGAGAGCAAAAAGATGGAAAGGGATAGCCATGGCACAACTCTAGCCAAGGGCAGGAGAAGGATGAAATCAGCTACTGTGGGAAAGATGAAGCTGAGCAACAAATTTATTCAGCTAGAGGAGGAAGACAATTCAGAGGCAAAGAAGAAAGAAAGGGAAACTACCCCCCAAAGACTAAATGACAGGACAGTGGAGACAGCCAGGACTGAGACTCCACAGCAGAGAATGAAGGGGGAAATAAAAGACAGACATTTTCACACAAGAGGCAAAAAAGATCCCACCATGCCAGTGGTGTCCATGGACAGGGGTGTCCATGGCAGCAGACAGGTTCCTTGGTGGTTTGGAAAGTAGGAGGAACAATGTGGAGCCATAAAGCAGAGAGATGCCTTGTTCTTCCATGAGTAGGAATGTTAGATGTCAACCAAGGGCAAAGAAAATAAGGAAAACTGGTGGAGCTAAGGATTGTCTTCTATTCAGGACAAGTGATACTGTGGAAACAGGTGAAGAACAAGCCCAACAGAGAGAGGACAGTGCTTTAAATTACAGATGCTCTGGGATTTTCTTCCACAAAACTCTTCCAGTCCCAATGGAAAATGATAAGCTAATAAAAATGTTGTATTTCCTCAGAACTAGCCCTGTGAAGGAAGCTGCTGAGAGGTAAGCAACTACAGCAGATTCCTCTGAGGGGAGGCTCCATTTGGCTACTCGTGATACTTGCCTTCCAGGACTGAAAATTGCAGTGAGCAAAGCCAGCTTTCAGGTTTAAAACAGTGAGAAACAGGCTCAAGAGCCCTGTCTGATTTTCATGCTGGGTTTTAACAGATGGGTGAAGGAATATCCTGGTGGTGAATAGAGCAAGGGATAAGGGACCTCAAAAGAAGAAAGGAATACTGGCAACAAAGTATTCATTCATTCATTCTGTGCTGGTCCCAGTATACGAGGATGGTTTTTTTCCCTAAAGGTTTTGGAATTGCCATTCACTTTATAATTGCAGATTTGCCGTGTGATCCCATCCATGGTGATCACAGAAGGAGTTGAGCTGTGTGATGACGTCTAAGCTTTGTATACAATATAAGTGTTCTGGTCTCTATCTGTTCTTTAAAAATTAAAAGGCCACCTAAGTTTTGAAATGGCTGCACAGTCATGCTAGACAGTACTGACAGGAGATGTAGGCAGTAAACACACTTTACCAAGGGGTGAAAAAGAAAGTGCCAAAGGACAAAGGAGAATCACTGAGTTTAGGATTGCCCAGCTGCTTTGGAAACCACTGTTTGTAACAATCTCATGGTCTGAGTCTTGCTGAGTCATCCCATGAGGCTGCAGACATGGCTTGGCTTAAGCCATTTCAATAATAAATCTTCATTACCTTGGTTGGCTTTGACTTCACCAAGCTATGGATAAAAGCAGCTCAGCAGGCAGACAGGAGATAGAAGATCATAAATTGCTACAGAGTTTAGGTGATGGCAACTTTCAAAACAGGGATGATGCTGATGACCACGAGGGAGCAGCAACTGCTTTCTTTGATACTTCTGAATCCAGCAGGAATATTCATCCTTGGAGTTGCCCATGGATGCAGCACACTGAGTGTGTTTCTCATCTATCTACAGTTAAATCACCAGCAGCCAAAACAGTTACTGAAGGGTGGAGAGTTCAGAAGTTTTGAATGTGGAGTCAGGGTCTTCTCTAAGTCAGATTTTAATTTCATGATCATCTTATGGATTTGCATCTCAGTGATGTCCTGGGGAAGAAGAGTGGCCAGGGAGAATCTTCTTGACCTCACAATTTATGTAGTCCCTCAATCTGCAATAAGAAGTAAGCTCTTGTAAGCACAGGACAAGTGGCAAGGAAAAACAATGCTGTGGTAAGAAAGTACCAAGTGAGAGCTCAAACATCTACCTGAGAGAAATGGTGCAAGTGAGATGAAAGCACATTATAATGGGTCTGCTAGCCATAAAAAGAGAGGCAAAAAATTGAGTCATGACTAAGTGAAGTTTACTGCCTATGGCAGCAACAAAATACAGTCAAAGATTTGATTATGAATGTGCCCTGAGGAGCCCAACGTCGTGGCAGAGGTGTGATGAAACACAGCCTGCAACACTGAGATGTACACAGCATATGGGTGAGAAACCAGGAAAAATAAAAGGCAGTTTTGGAAAGACTTAAAATAATTGAGGGCAGGGGAGATAGCCTGGATCCTAACACCCTGAAACTAATTGATACAGGGGAACTGAAGACCTAGAGGAGTAATCAAGATCTTGCTTTAGCAACACACAATGGACGTTTTCCCATGGAAGAGAAGTTGTAGGGTGGGTCACAATCAGTCAGCAGAGGATTAGATAACACACTCAGGGGAACAAGGCAGGGATAAAGTGATGCTAGGTGTGCAGGGCTGGATTGGAGGACCCACAAGGCCCTGTCCAGCTTAATCATCTACGATTCCATGGAGACAGCAGTGAAAGACCTCCATTGTCTCCCTGAGAACTAATTTTGCTAGGTATGGGCTTAGGTCACGTATTACAAATAGGTCTCTTTTATGTAGGATTCTAGTTTGGAGTTTGCAGTGATTGATGGATTCATTAAAACGTCATCACTGCAAGGGACAAGAATTTTTTGTTTAAAAATAAATAAATGACGACAGAAACAGCCAAAGAACCTTCTGCTTTTTTTTTTTTCCTGATCCTCCCTGCAGCTTAACATGCTTCAGGAGACTACTTGGTGGCAGAGAGAAAAGACAGGATAAGAAAGGATTAGCAAGGGATATCAGCATTTCACTTAGATCTTTGGCTACCTGGTCATTCTTGATTTCTACCTCCCAGTATCTTTGTTTTTATGAATGTCATGCAAGTATCATTTTAGTGACTAATAATACTTACATTCTGATCTTCCATTTGGTCTGGAAAAGGCACTTGGCTGAATTCTCATATGGTAATAACTGAACTTTGTTGTACAGATGTGAGCAGAGTTGCACTTGAAGATCCAGCCCACTGGATGGCTGCTTGTACAGCTGCACTGTCTTTTTAAAGCCAAATTAGTCGGTATAGAAACATTTTCTCCACAGACTCTGGCTGTCATCCTTGTGACAGTATGTTATATTTTCAAGTAGATCCCATGGGCCAAATTAATTGTACTGCTCTACTGATGTCAGTCATGTTACCCCAAGTGTGAATTTGGCCCCATTGTTCTAAGGCTAATAGAGATTTTTTCTTCTTTTTTTTTTTTTTGGGGGGGGGGGCTTAATGAAAGTGGATCATAAAATATTCTTGGATTTTCATCTGGTTTTGCTTATAATAATTATCCTTTCCCAGAGCTGAGTAGTAGAGAAAACATCCATATTCTCCAATGTCTGGTAGAAATTGCAGTGCTTGTTTGCTGCAGCCCAAGACATGGGCTAAGGACAGAAATTGATGCATTTGCCCACGTCTCTATGGACATGTCAAAGCCTCTTAAAGTTCTCTGGCCTATGTCAATGAAACACATTGATTGATTTTCAGTGGCCTTTTGTACTTTAGAAGAAACTCTCCTGGCAGCAAATGCATCAAGATAACATTAAATTCCACCCTTTGTTATTAATGGAGACAAAAGACATGTTCTTTTTAACTGGTTTCCATATTTTTGAAATAATATCTGAATGACTTACAGAATTAATGCTGCCAGAGAGAGCCAGCACATTTTTGCTGACAGCTTGCACTGCACCAAATTAGGTCAGAGAAGATGTGGGGTGTGATTACAGTAGAATTAGCTGAACCAGAGGTGTTTCCTACTCCTGATCTAATAACATACCTGAGGAAAAGTGCAGCTGGGACACCACTGCTGTCATTTTGGAGAGGGAGGCTGGCTATCCCTGCCTGGCCACTGCTGGATTGCACTTGCTGGGTGTCATATCTGGTGTTCCCAAATTTGTGTTGTATGAAATGCCAAGAATCAGAGTGGTCTGGTTGAATTATTGCATCACTGTTCAGTCCAGTTTTGAGGAAATCAATGAAAAAGTTGAAGTGGATATAGGATATGTCCTGAAATGCCATATAAGGATTAGAAGGAACCTTTTAAATAATAATTTTATTTATAGCAAATTGTAACAGCTGGAGCTCTCCAACCCTTTCTAAACCACTGGGATGCCTCACAAACTCTTGTTCACCAAACCTTTTGGTCAATTTGACATTGCAATGGATAATAACTGAATGGGAGTACCCCTGATTTACACAAAGGGATCAATCAAAGACCTTAATCTCCTGAATAAATCTTTAAAGAAATAGATGTGAAAATGAAGATGTGGATGTGGTACTGCCTCTCCAGCTTAGGAATCTTGTCTCTGTGGGTATATTTGAGGCTTAATCTGGGGCAACCAACACCAAGAGTCCACAAGAACTGCAAGGAACTATGGATCAAAAGGAGATCTTGCTCTCTGAGCTCAGCTTCCTCTACCCTAAAATACTCCTGCAGCATATCTGGCCCTCTGGATGTTTAATGAAGAATCAAGACCAGTTCTACATTAGTGGTGTTGAGAGTGGAAGTTATTCTTGAAAGAGGATTGCT